ACGTACAGAACTCCCGCAGGATTCAGTATGGGATTTTCGTGGCGCTCAGACGTTTGATGGTCCAAGCGCACAATTCCATGTTTTCGGATTCCCTGCAAAAACCGACTCATAGGAATCCCCCGAATAACGAAGATTACCCGGCGCCGCCTCCACTCCTAGGCTTGAATCGCATGATGTAGTCTTTGTCTGGAGAGATCGCGCACGTATGCTACCATGGAAACTGTGGCAAAAGCCTGATGCTACATACGAGAAGCGAGTAGGTTTGGCACAGTAGCGAGGTAATAAGTTAGTGACTGGTTTGCACTGAGGTCGAATCATAGGATTGGAAAAGGACAATCAATAGGATTGACTGCAAGATGGGGTAATTTTCCGAAATATGGGTTACACACGGACAGACGGGGTCCCAGTGCCAGTGGGATCTCCTGTCGATTCCCGCTTGACCTGCTTGTCCAGCCGTTAAATTCTAGCGATGCAATTTGCCAAAATAGACCTCGCCTTCAAACACCTGCCGGAATATCCGGCACTGGCCAACGGATGAATGATTGCCAGTCGAGTAGATGACTGAAACCGTTGTTGCCACATTAGCTTCCGGTGCAGAAATAGGATTTCCATTTCCGCACGGTGCAGAAACCAGCTTCCGAGTGAGAGCCAGCTTTTGATACAGAAACGTCTACCCCCAAGTCTCCCCCAAACATAACCTGTCTCTTCTTGTACTTCAAGAAAGATCATAATGAGAATTGACTATGTATAGTTTACTATAGTGTCGATAGATCGCTATCGGAACAGGAGCTAGTATCTAGCCACCGGAGGGATACAAGAACTATGGGCGCTGAGGCACCCAAAGCTAGTTGTATTCATATATCTCTCCTGACATTTTCTTTTTGCATTCTCCACTCCCTACCGGTATCTTTTGGCGTATGCAATCAAATGCTTCCCCCAATTTTTCTTTCCCTTAAAGAAACCTTTTGGCTCCAGCTTCCAAATGCGGAAATGGAAATTCCATTTCTGCATGATGCGGAAATGGAAATTCTATTTCCGCATGATGCGGAAATGGAATTTCAGAGTCGTGGATTCCAGATTCCACATCCGTTGTATTCACTGTTGTACGAGGATGTAGTGCTCGCACAGCCGATTTGAATCGTGTGCAAATTTGGTTCGAGCTTTTTCATTCCGCGTGCAGACGACGATGACCGTTATTTTTTGATGCATTTGTGTTGGCACGCAACCCGCTTGAGAGAGCGGTGACACCCGTCTGTCCCCTTGTCCCTATTTATGAAAATTACCCTGTCTTGCAGACAAACCCGGACCAAATGGGGTACCGAGCTATGGTGCAAATGAGAGAGAGGGTGGTGAGGGCGGGAAAAAGCAAAAAAGCTGACGGTCTTGACCGAGCAGCTAAGCTCCTTCTATCGTCTCCATCATCCCACAAGCTCCCATTGCGAACAATGTCTTCTCCAAATCTTCCGTCCTCTTCGTCGACACTCTTCGCTCCGTCCGCCAACCGTGTACTTCACTGAAGCGACGCGCCGTAATCGACACGACGGAAATTGAGACTAAGGAAGAGCTAGAAACGCCCATACGTCTCCCGTCTTGCCGATCTATAATCGAAGATTACCCGGCGCCGCCTCCACTCCTGGGCTTGAATCGCATGATGTAGTCTTTGTCTGGAGAGATCGCGCACGTATGCTACCATGGAAACTGTGGCAAAAGCCCGATGCTACATACGAGAAGCGAGTAGGTTTGGCACAGTAGCGAGGTACTAAGTTAGTGACTGGTTTGCACCGAGGTCGAATCATAGGATTCGAAAAGGACAATCAATAGGATTGACAGACAAACCCGGACCAAATGGGGTACCGAGCTATGGTGCAAATGAGAGAGAGGGTGGTGAGGGCGGGAAAAGCAAAAAAGCTGACGGTCTTGACCGAGCAGCTAAGCTCCTTCTATCGTCTCCATCATCCCACAAGCTCCCATTGCGAACAATGTCTTCTCCAAATCTTCCGTCCTCTTCGTCGACACTCTTCGCTCTGTCCGCCAACCGTGTACTTCACTGAAGCGACGCGCCGCAATTGACACGACGGAGATTGAGACTAAGGAAGAGCTAGAAACGCCCATACGTCTCCCGTCTTGCCGATCAAGCTTCACTTGTGGTCGTACCAGTCGCACCTCATACGTCATTCACGGTTGAAGCAACGCACTTGCGACTGAGAAACCGGTACAGTTCCGACGGCCACAAGATTTCCTCGATATATTCATTGTATTGGTATCATGAGATTCCTTTGTTTTGCCAGTGCTTTAGCGACAGCTTGTGCTTTCACATCCCAACCAGCTGCTTTCACCACCAACAGCCCTGTTGTTGGAGGCCGTGTTCTTGAAGATGTTGTTGCATCTGGACAGGCTCACCGCACCCGTAAATCAACAATTGTGATGGACGGAAAGGCAAACGGTAAGTCTACGTAAGCCGAGTACTGAAACCTCGTAGATGCAAATTGAATGAGTTAAACACCAAAACATCTAGAACGTACAATTGCAACAGACGAACCATTCAATTGCTTGTTTTGGATTCTTGGCTGCCGAATTTGGAAATCCAAGTTTAATTTTGCTCAGAAACCAATGGCTCAATCCCATTTTTCCCCATTTCTTTACAGCAATCCGTGACCGCATCACTACTGTGAAAAACACAAGAAAGATCACCATGGCCATGAAACTTGTTGCTGCCGCCAAGGTTCGTCGTGCTCAAGACGCTGTACTTGCAACACGCCCTTTCTCCGAAACACTTCAATCTGTTTTCGGAGGACTTATCCAAAGATTGGGAGACGATACCGTTGATTTGCCACTTTTGACCCAACGTGAAGTCAACAAAGTTACTATCGCTGTTGTCACTGGAGACCGTGGACTTTGCGGTGGATACAATTCTAACATGATCAGGAAGGCCGAGGCCCGTTTTCAAGAGCTTAAGAGTCAAGGGATTGAGGCGGACATGGTTCTCATCGGAAAGAAAGGAATCTCCTACTTTACCCGTCGTGGATACCCAATCCGCAAGACTTTTGAATGTGGGCAAAACCCCAATGCCAAGGAAGCACTCGCTATCTCTGAAGAGCTATTGAATACTTTCCTTTCGGGAGAAAGTGATGCAATTGAACTTCTGTACACCAAGTTTCTTTCTCTCATCGCCTCTGCTCCATCCGTCCGAACTTTGGTTCCATTCTCCGCTTCCGACATCACACAAAAGGGTGACGAGGTCTTCCAATTGACATCTGAATCCGGTGATTTCAGTGTGGAACGAACCGAACTTGATGTCGCAGAACCACAAGAGTTCCCGAATGACATGATCTTCGAGCAAGACCCACTCCAAATTGTCAACTCAATCCTACCACTTTACGTCAATGGACAAGTCCTCCGCACAATTCAAGAATCTGTAGCTTCCGAGCTTGCAGCACGTATGCAATCGATGCAAAGTGCGAGTGATAACGCTGGTGAACTTGCCAAGAAGTTGAGTCTTGAGTACAACCGCGCACGTCAAGCTGCAGTCACTCAAGAAATTCTTGAGATTGTCTCAGGTGCCCAAGCTCTTGATTAAAATTTAATTCAAGTTGAAATGCTATTTAATAAAGTAGCGGATTAGTCACTGTCATATCAAGTCTGTCTCAGGGATCTGTTCTTTCCTGTCTCTGAATCGAAGACCATTTGAGGATTGCTTTCAGTGGTTGGTGATTAGTCTAGGTATGGAATTTTTAAAAGTGTAATGACTGTAACTTAAGCAATAATCATTAGAAACGATCCATTCTTTCCAGGAGTCCTCTCAATTGAATGCTCTCTTGCATTCAAGGCAATGGAAGTACATGTTGATCAATTTGCGTTGACTAACTCTACTGCAGGTAGGCAGGAGTACCTGGTACAGTATTGAATACAGGACATGCAGCATACAGTGACGTTCATACTACTATGCTATACGATACAGTACGATACCTGCAACTATTTATATAAGTGTACAGGGTATGGTCTGCAATGGTAGGAAAAGCAGACATTACGTGCTGTGAAGGCTAAAATAGAAGAAATAGAAAGTAGACCGAGTCAAACTTTTGGTCGATTGGGTCTGAACATGTTTTGGGTTGTCAACTGCGACACGATGCAACACAGAGCCTCTCTTTGACAGATATAAATGAAAATAGACAATAAGCCTATAGTTGACTAGTTTCTACAAGTTGATCGATATCAATTCAAGTAAAAAGCATGCAGTGAGAAAAGCAATGATCCATCACTTTTCCATGCGAATCCTATGATTTGTTAGAGAACTGCTGACTCAGTTCTTTTCTACGCTAAATTAATGGCCTGTAACAGTTTGCACATGTGTGATGCGTGCGGCGCACAGGCTACACTTCAACCTGGGAATCCTATAGGTCGAGTCACAAGTCCCGTTCCTATTAGAATTCTGTCACTCCCCAAATGGGGCGAAACCTAGTCCTCTTGATCAGCAGTATCTCCAGACCAGAACATTAGAGTTGGCAATAGTGGCCAGATTTGCTGATGACCTCAATGGGTTGCTGAGAATATCAGCGGGGTTGAGAGCACTGTCAATGTGGATAAAAGATAGCATGTTGGATGCTACTGCTTCTCTCATTGTCACCGACCATGTAGCTTTGACCTTTGACTGGCACACCAAGGTGCCTCAAGGTCTGTTGAAGATCCATGATATGTTTGACATAGGTTTGAGTGGCTACAAACTCAGAACCATAAGTAGCAGTCTCAACAGTTGACTACGCCTTAGAGAAGAAATCAATTAGGGTTCCATTCAACATATGATGGATTCTACCCACAACTGATCAGTCTGTCAATAGACAGTGGGGTTTTGTTTTGTTTGGCGGTACATAGGTAAAGTCACCATAAGGTAGGAGTCTGGGCTTGTCTTTGTCACAATGTTTAAGGGCATTGACAAGTTGCACTTGGAACTTTTGGTGATCTTTTGGTGTTGGGGTTCCTCTCCCCATATCCACAAGTACCTTGTACATTGCAAGCAGATCTATCTCGACTTTGGCGGCAGGCATCCAGTTGGTGTTGCCATGGAGTTTGTCAAGTTGAAGGACGCCACTGTGGTCCTTCTTGATCTTGTAGTTGTACATATACTTTGGTGTAGTAGTATGTAGCAATCTCAGCTTGACTTGATTGGTTGGACAAAGAAGTTTCTTCTTTGTCCTTGACTATACTTCTAAGAAGTTTACAACCTTGACTTTCCGGTAGGTTATGATTCCTAGCGTACATACTGTAGGTCACTGAATCATCGGCTCCAGTGATGCTCAGTGGTTCTGGGGTATTCTCCCCATGTTTTGATCCAATGGTCATACTGGACCCACCGCAAATTTTGCGTTGCAGGCGACTGCAAGACGTTGGATAGAATCGACCAACTCGAAGGAGTGGTTAATTAAAAGGGGCAACCTTTCCTCCCCTGAATTTTATTCAGATCATTATTTTGTGCGTTTAGAAATCCTACGTTACATTTTTCATGAACGGCAGTTTTGTTTAACGAACACAATTTAGCGCGCTTTTGATTGCGTCCACTGTGTCGAAAACCACAATTCCGACCTGAAAAAATCGTTTAGGTTTCCAGCAAGTTCAAAAGAATCGTTTGAGTCCACAAAAAATCGTTTGGGTTCACAAAATATCGTTTGAGTTCACAAACCAGCTCTCCAGGGGAGGGGAAATTGGTATAGAGCTTGTTCGTTTGGGGGTATTGTAGTTGGATTTCGGTTCTGGCGGACATCAGACAAGCGACAGGCTTGTCGTCGTCCAAACCGATTGACAACTTTGTGGCCCATAAAGCCATCATTGCCAACCAGCCGTGCCAACATGCGACCCATCAA